TATCAGCAGACACTCACCTGAGAATGCTTTGTGTCCTCATGGGGATCCATTTGTTCATCTATTTATTCATCATCCAGCAGGCATTCATTCCAGGGTCTGGCTGCATGCACGCTGGGTGACAGAATGACAGCCCTGCCATTCCTGCTCCTGAGGAGCTTGTAGTGCAAAGGTTCATCTCAGCGTTATTCATGAACATTAGACAGGGATGGAATGTTACAACACAGTGTCCCCTTAAGGGATCTTCCTGCTCTCTTCTTCCTCCTTTCACAAAAACTGCTCAACTTTTGTATCCTGCCCTCCTGTCCCACGAACCCTACAGACAGACCATCTTTCCGCTCCCCCCCCTTTTTCTCCCCTTCTCCACCCTCAGGTGAAGGAAAATGCTAGTGCCCTTACAACAGGTGTACAGGTGTCCTCACCAACCCTGTATATGGATTCTTAATGCTCTTCTAACCACTGGTTAAATTAGGAAACATGGTCAGCCCTCAGAAGCCACAGCATCCAGCCCAGGGGTCCCCAACCATGTTAGGAACTGGGCCACACAGCAGGAGGTGAGTGACAGGGAAGCCAGTGAACCTTCATCCATATTTACAGCTGTTCCCATCACTCACACTACTGCCTGAGCTCTACCTCCTGTCAGGTCAGTGGTGGTGTCAGCTTCTCATAGGAGCACAAACTCTACTGTGAAGTCCATATGTGAGGATCTAGGCTGCACGCTCCTTATGAGAACCTAATGCCTCAGGATCTGAGCTGGAGTTGAAGTGACGATGCAAGTGTTGTGGAGTGGTTGAAGAAATTTTCATTAGCAGAGAGGTCTGACTGAATGGAGACCATCATAAATCAATTGCTTACAAATTAATTCCAAAAGCCTATCGGTGAGTGGCAGTGACAATTAAGCTACATCTGGCGGCTGGCTTTAGAGTGCCAAGTGGGTTAACGTACTTCAGTTGTACAGGTGCATCTGGTGGCAAGTTTTAAGTCAGAATCCAACACTTCTTTAGTTGATGTATGGCTCACCCATTATTTTATTTACCACTGTGCACGCCTTTTTTTTTCCAGCACTGTGCACTTGTCTCAGTCATGGTTGCAGTCAGCTCACAAGCTAGTCAATTGAGTTAAAAGCAAATGTCACTGGAGAGTTTCTTTGAAAAGGGGGAAGAGGCCCGTTAGGAGACAGTACAAGACTGACAACAAAAAGGAAACTGAATTTAAAAGAAAATACCAGGATTCTTACAGCTTCATCAAACCACAGAAATCCATAATGAAACCTGACCCGAGGTCTGTCTTTTTCTACATCTTGCTGACTCAAAAATATTTCTTGAGTCAATCAATATTTTGTAAGAGTATCAGTAGCTGATTTTCATAGAATTAGTCTAATTTTAATTTTATCTTATTTCTAGAGCAGTGTCTATACCTTCATATAACATCGCTTCTTTAAAAACATGGTTAGACAAAGCAATAAAATAACTTTAAGTTCAAGCCAAACTGGCAAGGTTTTCTGACCAGTCTTTAATTTACCTGGTTCTCACTGATCCCACTAAAGTTTTTCTGCAGACAAAAAGGTCACTTATGAAATGCTGAGGTAGCAACCTTGGTTCCAAAGATTTTGGCAGTTGGTTCAATATGTGCCCTAGCTTCCTTTTTTGTGAGCAGAGGTCAATATAAGAATCTATAGATACCTTGATTCTCTCAATCTCTTAAATTCAGACACTGTTGAAATGTACAACATTGCAGGGGTAAAGAACTTAGAAACACAGACTTGAATTTCCTCTACCAATGGACTGGTGTCGGGACCAACAATAAGACCAACATTTAGCTTGATTTATCATCACATTTTTCTAGAACCAGACATGTTATGAGCTAGGACATATCAATTATCAGTACATCATAGCAAGTCAGGCTTAAGTTTCTAAGGTTCCCTGCTTATGAAACTGAACCACTGACCACCTGATCATATATGTTCATGAACTAATATATCTGAGAGCTATCTTTGGATGGAAAAGAGAACAAAATCTTTTAGTTCCAGGGTATCAGGAGAAAGGGACGTAACAGCAAGGGAGAAATAGACAAGCAGAGTGGAGGAGAGTATTGTGACACCTATCTTTCCTCTTAGACTTGGGAACAAGTCTTGAAGCCCCATGGGAACAGTGATAAGAACAGAAGGTAAAGGCACTATGCACATGCAAGACTTGCTGAATCTCTGAGCACAAGTAGTGTGGGCTTGAGACTCACATTCTTGAACAACTAGGGAGAATATTATGCCCCCATTTCATCCCCAAAGCACAGCAGCATATAGCCAGCTTCTGGAATAGAGCTGTGAAGGTGATGCCTGTCCACCCACCAGGCCAACAGGGAAGCAGAGTCAGGCAAGGCTGTTGGCCACACAGTGATGCTCTTCCCTCAGATAACTCTAGCTAGCAGATGCCTGTGAGGTCACCTAAGAAGTCCATTTTTCTGGGGACTTCCAAAAACACATGATCAGAGAAACGTGGTCAAGAATTGGAGTTGTTGCAAGATGGATCTGGGAGTTCACCAGATGCAGTACTCACTGGTGAGACCTGGGACATTCCAGTAAAACACACTGGATGAAACAAGAAATTCTTCAGTGCATTGCTTTAAATTTTAAGGAGAATGAAACTGAAACAAAAGAATAGTGAATGGAAGATATAAATGTAGTCCTGCTTATTTGCATGAAAATTCTAGGTTCTGATCTTTTTCTCAACCAGGCTGCCTTAGGAGAATTAGAAGTCACTTTCTAGAATTTCATTGGACACATGTGTCCACCTCTCTGTCTTTAGGTCAATCAACCCAATAATACCACACAAAACTGAAGCTGCATTTTGAAAAGCCACAGATGTACCCAACTCAGTAGAGGTCATTGAGAGGCTGACACAGTCCTCTTTCTTCCCCTTATCCATTGGCTAAAGCCAATCCACCTAGTACTTAGTGAGAAGAAACAGGATGGTGGGGGTAGACAGGTGCTCCAACTGGTTCTTTCCTCCAAGGAAATCCTTACAAGATGAGAAGGACAAGGTAAGGTTCCACTCTCTTCCCTGGACACAAAGCCAATGTTGCTGGCTCCTCTACAGTCCACCACCAAACAAGCTGCAAACAGGAAGCAACAGTGTCCTTCCCTCCTCATCAGGGTCTCTGAACAAACAGGCAGTTCATCTGTAAGCAGGATCTTAGGCAAGTGACTTAGGCAAGTGGCTCCTAGACTCTCGTGATTAAGGTCTAGGGTGTGCCAGGAGACCTAGTGGCTCTTTCACTGCTGAGGACAGCTGCCAGTCCAAGAGAAAGGCAATCCCTTGAGATGCATCAGACAAAGCTTCCAAGAAGACCAGGGAGCCAACAGCCCTTCTGGAGCCCTGAGGGACTCTGCTCCTCCTTCCCTGGATGGAGTAGAAATGGCTCACATCCATGAAGGGCTCCAGGCAAAGATTCCTCATCTGGGTCCCATGGATATTGGAGAAAGGGGCAAAACATTATTATTATTATTATTATCATCATCATCATCATCATTGGCATATCTTGCACCCTCGTGGAGCTTTAAATTGCAGTAATTTATCCCTTACAGGCCACCCAAAGAAGTATTACACTACTTTGGAAAAGATTAGGGTGTCTCCACTAAAGCTAAACAGATATGTGTGCTTTATGACCCAGAAATTCTACTCCTGGATATATTTTTCCAGGTGAAAGAGTACGGTGGCCACCAAAAACCAAAAATAGGCACAAGAATAATCATAGTGGTGCTATTCATGGTAGCCTAAAACAGAAAGCAACTAAAAGTGCACCAGAAATTGAAAGATCAACAAATTATGCTTGATTCTTGTGGTAGAATAGTGAACAGCATTCAAACGAAAAAAGAATTGCTGCTACGTGCAGTTCTACAGGATGACTCTCATAGATTTAGACAAAAGAAGCCAGAAGCAAAAAAGAAATATGATATGATTCCATTCATATAAAGCTCAAAATCAAGTGAAACCAACCTGTAGTGCTAGAAGCCTGAAAAGTGGTTGCCTTGCTTGGGAGCATGAAGCGGTCAACTAGGGAACCAGGAAAGCTTTGTGTCTGTATGGAGGACACCTGAGAATGTATAAAATGAATTAAGCTTGCACACTTAAAATCTTTACATTTCTATATGTAGCTAGACTTCAATAAGAAAGGAAAAACAGGGGCTCTGAATTTTTTGAAATAAAAGAATTATGGTTGGGCCTATTAGCCCATGCCAACTAAGTTTTGGAGAAAGTTGTAGAGACTGGGATTAAAAGAGACTGTGGCCATTCAATGAGCAGATAGGAGGTGAAGATAATAACTATACCACCAAAAATGACATTTTCATAGCATCACCTTCATCTGTGGCTAAGGAAGGTAACAGTAGAAAACAAACCCTCTCAGAGGGATAGCAGTGGCTGGGAAAGCATCCCCTGGAAACGGAAGTGAGGCCCACCCAAGGGGAGCAGTCTGCACACGAGTCAGGACCACACAGCCAGGTGCTGCCACAAGTGGCCCAGTGGCCTTTTCTGATGGAAGTTCAATGTGGTCATCTGTTTCCTATGTCACGGCTGGGTGTTGCATTGAGTGAGGTAGACACTGTCTATGTCTTGGAGGAAATGGGTAGATCTGTCTCGAGATCAAAGAAACCATATCCAGAAGTGATTCAGAGACTCTCATGAGGTCCGGGACTTTGGGTGTGGTGTTATGACTGCAAAATAACTCCACAAAATAGATACCGTGATCTCACTGTTTTTAAAAATGAAGAAATGGAGGCTCAGAGAGGTTTAGTAACAGGACCAAGCATCGCTGATGAGTGCTGGAAGTGGGACTTTCTATGGACAAGTTGGGTCCACAGTCATCCAGTGGTTATAAATGAAATGGAAATTGTATCACCTGATGCTGCTGCTTCCAATAATATAAATATTACACAGCCCACGTTCACCGGTAAACCTACATTTAATGACCCTATTTGAGGTGAGAAATTATATTTTCATGTTTTTCAGAAGCTTCAAAGATTTTTACAGATGTTGTAAAAGCCAAGAGGAGCACTGAAGAAATGGTCATAAAAAACAATTTCTCAACCAAGACAAAGAGTGACCCAGGACTAAAACCAGAAGAAGGAAGCAGATGCCCTGGGGTGGATCAGGACCTGAAGCTGCATAGTCAACTGCCCTCATTACAGTCATTGCTTTTGCCCTAATACATCTCTGTAGGGGGAGGTAAGCACATCTCAGTCCTTTCCAAATAAAACATAGAAGTCTTTTAACAGGTGTCTGTCACAGCCCCAGCATGCCCTAGCCTATGCCTGGAAGGGCAGGCAAAACACGAGCACACCTTTAGGATGCTCCTCTGAGATACCTGGTGACACTGCTTTTGACAATTGAGCCCCAAATCACCATAGGAGATAATGAAAGGGATGTTCCTTGCTATGGTTTAGATATAAAGTGATCCCCAAAGCCTCATGTGTGGAAGGTGATTGGATTATGGAAGCTTACAGCTGACTTGCTATTAGGACTAGGTCTAGTTGGAAGAGGTGGGACACTGGGAGCATGACCCAGAAGGAACATCTCCCTTCCTTCCTTCTTCCTTCCTTCTCTGCTTCCTGGCCACCATGATATGAGCAGCTTTTCCTCCACTGTGCACCTCTGCCATGAGGTCCTGCCTTAAAGCCAGTGGACTATAGGCTAAAAACATGAGCCAGAATAAACCTCTCTTTCTTTAAGTTGTGGGTGTCAGGTATTCTGTCTCTGTGATGAGAAATTCACCTTTCAAATGCCAGATCACCTTGATGACACTAAAGAGCCTCAAGATCTCTTTCTACTTGAATCACCTTGGCATTTCCAGAGCCATGAGAGAGGACAAGCTCTGAGTCAGCCAGGAATGCAGCCTTTCATAGACACCTTCTGCCTGCTCCTTGTACCAACTTTCATGGCTCTCTAGACAGAAATAGAAAACAGCCCCTTCCTTTTCATCCTTGTCTCACCTCTAGAACTGCATGAAAGGAAAGACCTTGCCAAAGAATGCCACATGGAAACAGATCTCTCACCAGGAAGACGTGGCACCTGTCTTTCCCACAGAGACAGGTGGATGCTTGGGGCTGGCTTTTCGGAAAGCAGCAGGTCACTGGAAAAGGTCCTCTGTAGTTCTTTTCACAAGCTACCATGTTCAGGTGATTTGTGGCAAGCTGCCAGCTCAAGGAGCTAATTAATTAAAGGGCTCTCCTTGCCAGGCATATTGGCCACTTTGACATCTCGGTTGGACACTTGAGCTCATGGAGGTTCAGCTTTGGAAGAGCATCCCTGCCTTCATCACATTTGATCTCCCCAGTGGGAAAAGCCAAGTGTGCCCAGAGTTGCAATAATCATATTAAGTACCAGTTTCCTTTGCCAGAAAAACAGTGCACTCTTTTCTTTATCCTTCCCTTGGGGAAAATTCCCACTGAGTCATTTGCTGAGTTCTCTGCTTATCTTGCAATTCCATACCAGCAGCATCATTTTTCCCCCAACACACATAGGCATTTCCACAAGGCTGTATGGTCTGTGGTTTTAGAGGAAATCTTTAAATTTAGACTCAACCCTAGAGCAGACAGAGCTTGTGATCTCTTGTGACAATAGTTAAAGAGATAGCAACATGGGAGAGTTATCTCATTCATTTCCATGGGGTGGGAGATCTTGGAGAAGACCATCCTCCAGCCCCTCACTCAGAACATAAATGCCCTTCGGCCACCAAGCATAGTTACAACCTATTTAGTAACCCACAGATGCATTTAGATTTTGCCTCAATACAAATTTAAAATGGGAGAGGAGGAATTCATTAATGGCTCTCCCAGGGAGAGTTATTCACAATCTATTCTCTGCTATTAAAGTATTTACTTTATGCATTCATTATAGAACTCACTCTTTTTGCAATTTATTTATCCAAATATGTTTGATCCTCCCTCACAAAAAAAGCATGAATTCATTTATAACAGGGATTCATTTGTCTTTTATCCTCCAAATAATCCTGAAGACCTTCAGTGTGTATTGAATAATTAAATAATTGGATCTAGGTGAATCCAAACAAGGGCCTAAAGAGGATTTGAATGAATTTGGTGTCTTTGGTGGGTACTGTTGTGGAGATGAAAATAATTTATAACTTATACATTGTTGTAGCTACTTACATCTGATATATGGAAGGAAGGGAAAACAAGCGGGGAAGGGAACAAAGGGGGAGAGAAGAAAAGGGAAAGCTAAATAGAGAATGACGGAAGAGAAAGGAAGAAAGAAAAAAGAAAAAAATGCATCCAAATTTATTGAGATCCACAGGCTAGAAATTAGTTTCAAAATTACGTGGTACTAGGTTCTATCTACTTAAAAAACCCAAAATAATCACTTTCCCCATCATAGTGAACTTTTTGTGTTTAAAGGCATAGTAACGGTAAAATGCTAAATCTTTTTGTTAATTCTCAAAATAAATGTATTCAAGCAGCTAAATCTCAATAAATGGAAGCAGGCTTCAGGTGTCAAACTAAATTTGCCTAATCTGACACTTAGCTCTGCTTGAGTTGGGTAGAAACATAAAATTTAAACTACTGAAAACAGGTTGCATGAAAATTTGATGAAAGATTCAGAGCTATCCCTTGTCCAAAGGGAAAGCAGAACTATAGAGCCCCTGGAGGCTCAGAATTTCATGCAATATCACAAAATCTATCTCTAACTCTAACCTTATACTGCAATAGTTAAATTAGCAATGCTTTTGTAACTTTTGGGCATATTCCAACACCCTCTCCTTTTTTATATTGTTACTATTATTACTGGCAGGATTAACAAAAGATGATGTGAAACAGCCCACACAGGAAACAACACATGAAGTTCAGAGCATATTTGTGCTGCATTTCACTGGAGTCAAAAACACTTCCCAAACATCAGCAAATTAATCCACTGGGTTCTCTTTCTGTATATATTATATCAACCTCGAATTCCCAAAGGTTTGGCAATTGCCCATTACCAATTTCTTATCAATACATGAAGGCCTATGGTATACAAGATATATGTTAAATACTTTACATTATTTTCCATTAAAAAAGGCCCATTATCTACAGGAGATGTGAAAGATGGCATTCTGAAATGGCACACATAGGACTCTATAAAATTTTAACTTTTCTTCAAATGTTGTTTTCTACTTTCTCATTTCCAACACCCTTTGTGATTTTTCCATGCTTGTAAATTCTTGCCTTACAAAGTAAAGTAAGGAAAACTAAGAACAGGAGAAAAGATATAAAGGTTCAGAGCCAAAGGACATGAGAAGAAAATGGAAAAGAAATGGGAAGGGTGAGATGCAGTAGACGTATTATCAGGTAGCCTGCTTCTAAAAGCAGCTCACCAATTAAACGTTACTGGGTTCTGGGTTCCTCGCCTCTCCTTCTGGAGTTAGATTCCGGGTTCTTCTCCTCTTGAACAAAAAATTGGACAAGACAAGCTAAAAACGGTACCAAAAGTTTATTTGAAAAGTGAAGGGGTATGGAAGAAACCAGCTCTGCAGAGCAAACTTGGGCCAAACAGAGAGAAAAACGAGGGTAAAAGCAAAAATAAAAGTACAGGCTGTATCTGGGAAACATAGAGTTGGCTAGGTCTTCTCGGCATCGCTGTGTCCTTTATTCTGTCCAAATCTGGAGGAAACCCTCGAGAACTTCTACATACGGGCCCTGAGAGGTGGTGCTGGGATCCCACGCCTCAGGCTGATGTCAGGTCTAGGCCATCTCATTGAAAACCTGCTGGAGTTCTTGCTAGACTTCCATGAAGGGCTTTGGGAACTTTTCCGCATACACACTCCAGGATCTTGTAATTAACAAGTCATGTCTCCTTCCCCAGCCAGCTTGCCACACCCTAATCTCCTGTCTCAGAGGAAGCAGCTTTTGACTTCTTAGCATCTGGCTGTCTTCCCTGACTCTTCTTTGGGGAAACCAACACTCTCCACTCCCGACCCAGAGGTCCAGGAGGCCCTGATCACAGCCCAACTCAGAAACGGAACACAGCCCAGGCCTGCTCAGCTGCCACCAGCCCTCCAGACACTGACCCATTCAGGCCAGTTACTTTAGCAAGCCAGGTCAACAGGCCCAATTCTGGGATTTGGCTTTGGATTACAGATAAAGATAGGTTCTTTTTCCAAGTCTGGTCAGGCAGTAACTGATCTTACTACAAAATAAAACCCAAACTGAGGAAAACATGACCACATGATGAAAAGAAAGAGAAATTCCTAATGACATCATCTGAGAATCCAGATCCAGTTCACCTGAAGTCAACTCTGCCTGGCCTCTTTCAATTATAGAAGTCATTATTCTCAGGTCAGTTTGAATTGGCTTATGTCACTTGGAACCATACTACATAGAGTTCAATTTCCTGTCACAAGAACATAGTTGCTCACAAATTAATAGTGATATTAATATAATTAATATTCATTAAGGAGTTAATTTAATAAACAACAAAATATTCTCACATGGCCTGGAATGGTATTCACCATGAGTAAAAAGTGGCTTTGGAACCCATTTGGATTCTTTTTTCTTTTGGTACCGGGGATCAAACTTGGGACCTCGTGCTTGCGAGGCAGGCTGTGGAACCACTGAGCTAAATCCCCAGCCTAAACCTATTTAGATTTGAATCTGGACAGTCTGCATCTTACTCCTGGGTGTCCTTGGACAGGTTAATTGACTTCTCTGTGCTTCCAGTTCATCATCTAGAAATGGAGATGGCAATTGAACCTCATGAGTCTGTTGTAAGGATCAAATGTATTAATATATAAAAGGTTTATTATAGTCACGTGCAGATAATAAAATTTCAATGTTACCGTTATGTAACAATAAATACTAGTTATTTTTATATATCAAAAATATAAGTCTTTGTGATTTTCATCCAGTCAGCTACTCTGCTCTCCTTCTTCTGGCCATACTCTGGGCACAACCTGGTCATCCCTGGCCACCCCCTCTGCCTGTAAGGCTCTTGTCCCAAAGGTCTGTGTAACTGAATCCTTCATCCCTCCTCTGATCAAACGACAACACCTTGTGCAAAAGCTCCTACAAGACTTCACACCCTCTATTTTTTCACCTCCCATTCTAAGAAATGGTGTAATTAATCTATTCTGTGTATTTCATATTGTCTCTGTCCAGGACCAACACAATAAATTCCAAGATGGCAGGAACATCTCTGACCAGTTTTAATCACTGATGTGAACTGGTCCTTAAACACAGCAGCTCCATTTCAGCCCAGAAAGAATGGCTGCTATCAAGAATTCAACAAATAACAAATGCTGGAAGGGCTGTGAGGATAAAGGAACCCTTCTCCACTGTTGGTAGGAGTGTAGACTGCTGCAACCACTGTGGAAATCAGTGTGGAGATTCCTCAAAAAACTAAAACTAGAGGTTCCATTTGACCCAACTATTTCCCTTCTTGGTATCTTCCTGAAAGAATTAAAAGCAGCATACTGCAGCAATATATGCACACCCATGTTTGTAGCGGCACAGTTTGTAATAGCTAAATCTTGGAGACAGCTCAAATCTCCATGAACCAGTGAATGAATAAAGAAGATGCATTTTGTTATACAAAAGTGGAGTACTACTCTGCCACAAATGAGGATAATCTGGAGACATTTCTAGGTAAATGGATACACCTTGAGACCATGCTCTTAAGTGAAATAAATTGCACACACGTTTAAATACTGCATTGTTTCTCTGGTGTGAGAAATGGAAAATGTAAGTAAGGACCAAAATGTATAATAGACATTGAGAAACAGGAAGAAAATGTTCAAATGGGAAGGGGAACAAGGGAAGGAGAAAGAGGAAGGAGAGGAAGGGAGAAGAAAAATAGAGAATAGAAGGAAAAAATGGAAACAAAGCTTTTATAAATAAGGAGGGGAAGAGGTGTCAAAGGGAGGGGAAGGGAATGAGAAAAAAGAATCAAGATACATCATATACAGGTACACAATCCCTATGATAAATGTGATGATTATGTATATCTAAAATGTACCATTAAACAAACTACATGTGGCTAAACGAATAGCTGGTATCACTGTTACCATCATCACTATTTTCCATCATGCAAGTAATAAAGCCACAGCACTTGGAGCTAACAATGACCATGGAGGTCATCTTTAGGTCCCCCCTTCTTTTTGTAAAGAGAGGAACAAGACACCGTGTCTTGCCCACTCTGACTCCCTGTGCCCAGGGTCCCAGTATACAGTCTGTCTCGGGTCCTGGACACACACTGCAGCCCCGGCCTCTTTACCAAGCAGCTCTAAGGCTGCCACTCCACAGCTATCTCATTTGTGGTTGGCTTGAGCAATGATTTAGGGAATTATAGCCATCATCAACATGTAGAATTAAAATAATAAAGAAAAACAATCAACATGGGAAGAGAAAAGAGAGGGAGACTGCTTTTGCTTTTTTTGCCTGTGGAGTTCAGATCATTTATGGAAACATGAAACAAGCCACTAAATCAGAGGATGCAATTAGCTCAGTTGTAAAGTAACTTGGTCCTATTTTGAGCAACCATAGCCACAGTGATCATTCTTAATTGAGGTAAATTAAGTATTCTGACTACTCCACTTTTATCAATAGAATTGCAAACCAGTAAACAGATCCAATTTTAGGAACTCTACATCATTCTTCATATTGATTCATCTTTTCTTTTCCTTCTGTTTCTCTTTATATCTAGAAGACTTTGCTGTAAACTCGGAAAACAAGATAAAATGTCTCTATGAAAGTTTGTCCTCCAGAATGGATTATGTAAAATTAAGGTGTGTGTGTGTCTGTGTGATGCTAATATTTAAATAACTATAGCCCAGTATTTTTTATGTAAGACTGAAAAATCTGAAAGGAAAATAGATAATATGGAAGGAGAAAAAGTTGCTCTGGTCCCCTTGAGGCTCAATAACACAGCCACCAAAAGGAAAAACTGTAACTCAAAAGGGAAACACAATTTCCAACCAAAAGGTCACCATAATATCTTTAGTTCTTAACAAAGAAAGAAGTAGAATCAAGCTAGCAATTATACAGCTGAATAGAATACAATTTATAGCATTTACTCACAAGAAACTCCACAAAAATTGCACAATCATAAGCCTACACTCCTTTATTTCTGCTGTCCCTTTAAACCATTCTGGGAGTCTGGTGTTGCAGTGACAAAAATCCATGTTTATGGTAGCACGTGGAGGGGGAGCACTGCTAATTACTACTGATTCCAATATATCTTCAAATGTGTATTACATGGGCAGTTATCTCTGAACCACAAGCCATAAAGGTCACATGCTTGAAACTTCTTTTCCTGCAGATGCAGCCATGATAATTACATCTCAAGGGGGGATTAGAGCAACTTATTTCATGACATTTGCCCTTAACTACCTTCCTTCTTATTAGAAGACTTGCTGCTGCAGACAGTCACTGAGGCATACAAACCTTGGGTCTGAATGCACTGTTTATACTGAAGTGACGCTGGCAGTCCTTGCAGCTACTGGGAGAGACTCATGGGTGAGCTCCAGCATGGGCAGTCTGCATCTTACTCCTGTGTGTCCTTGGAGGTCCTACTCAGGCAGAGGCCCACACCCAGAAAGGCACCAGGTAAATGCTGCTGTTGGGATTCTGCTGTGACATTTTAAAAATTGGTGTCATAAAACTTTAAACTTAAGATCACTACATTTTACTCAATGTAAATTACACCTTGACAAAAGCAATGATTATAATGTATGCCTTGACTCTTGCTTAGGGTAGGAGATACATAGAAACAGGGCATGCATCTCTTCTGGTCATGAGACTATTATTTTCAATAACCGATTTTAATCCTGTAAACCATGACTACTTGGTTTGACCTCAGATATACGAGGCTTTCCCTTTGAAAATTTCATTATCATAAGCTTAAGGATAAAAAATGCCTAGCCTAGGGATATAACACTGTAACATTATGGAAGAATCACCAGTATTCACTCCATGAAATTATCTCCATGGCTACCACACTGGGAGCAAAGTGCATGTTTCCAGTAGCACTTCCTATTCATGAGGCCAGGGCCTCTACCCACCAATGCCCCCTTTCAATGAAGGAGGAGGCCATAGGCCCACCCTTCCTACCCAGTTGCCTCTATTCAGACAAGATCACATCCTAAAGGACACTTCCCCAACACAGGAGAATGCAAATGGGCAAGAGGGACTAACATTTAGAAAAGGCAATGGATCCATTTTATTGAGGGGGAGGGATATTTTACATTTTATTCTACATCTCTAATAGCCCATAAGGTATTGTTTCCTACACATGAATGTCCTAGGTACAGGCAAAAGAAGACATACAAAGAGAAGACTCTTCCCCTTTCTTTCTCTTCTGTTTTAAGCTTTCTTCTGGAGGCATTTGTTGAAATAATACTAGGCCAAAGTTATAAGTTAGTAAGCATTACTAAATGTCCACTGTGTGCTCAAAACTGGGGCAGATGCTGGAAATATAGAAATGGATATTCATTCTACTTTTAGGAAGGTTTTATGATTCATCTGCAGAGCTCATGGGTAGTGAAACAAGGATTTCAATCACTGAAGTAGAGAACCAAAGCCTGTGCTCTTCTGCCTCTCAGGAGAAGGGGATAGACATGCAGTAAGAAAAACCAAAACCAGGCAGTAAGACCCAAGAGGAGAGTATATGGGACCCAGAATCAGTATTCTTCTCCCTAATACTGTAAGTGAGTGCTAGGAGCTCTGCCTTTTCTGGGCGAGGGAAGGAGGAGCAGGCACAGACAAAGGGCTCAAGACCTCTTGATCCAGCAGTGACGCAGCCTTCCTTCCCATGAGCCAGGACTGGCACCTCCCAGCAAGGCAGAAAACCAGCACCCTGCCAAAAATGAGCCTCTTTACTTCCCAAAGCTCTATTTTAAAAATAAGCAGCATTTAATGTACTTGAAATGATAGTCTTCGTTGTGACTGCTCTGAAACATGGGATTTTATCATTCCAGGGGAGAGCTGAGGAATTTCCTCAATGCTGACAGGGTGACTTCATGTTTGTGCCTTTTCCTGGGGCATGGGAAGAAGCCACCATGACCTGCCAGCCTGGAGATTCTGCCAAAAGCAAGGAGTTATGGGAATCTCAGAGAGGTCAATGAGCACCATCTAAACAGATATAGTAAGACAAATATAGTATAGTTTCAAAAGGCTGAGGAACCAACGGTCAATCAAGATGTTAACCAGTGATTTTACTGTCTCAACCTATGTTTACCCAGAGACACATTCAATGACAATGATGAAGTGCTTGACTCTTCCCAGAGCCCTTGACATTCTACATTCTTAGTTGCCTCATCCTGAAGGAAAATTACCTTGTCTATGTGAGTGCAGCATCACTGGTGTCTATTAAAAATAAAACTCCATCCAGTGGGCTGAGAGACCCATGGCACAAGTTCCGCACACATACATATCTTTAACAATAGTGGAAGGACCCAAGTCAATGCCCTGGTTTGTTAGAATAGACAACACACCCACAAATAATCCCACATGATTATCACTGCCAAGAAATGGATTTCTTTTAAGTTTTCACATGTTCTAAAATTAATACTTTTGTACATGATAGGAATATGTTTCCTAAATATTTTTAAACAACTTTTAAAAATAATTTTTAATCTAAAATTTCCTAAACTACCTTTGAAGGTTTTCATTCATATATATATATATATATATATATATATATATATATATATATACACACACACACATATATATAGATACATATATACACATATACACACACACACACACACACACATATATATATACACACATATTTGTTATGGTATCAAAAGTGTGGGAAGAGATATACAAAGAAAGGAAAGAGACCTCCCACGGGAAAGTACAATAAATCATCAAAATGGTAGATGAATTTTTAAAATAAACTTCTAACTTGTGGATCCCATTTTTTATGATTATACACAAGGATTCTGGATGAGATCTTAGGTTCCTGCACGTAGACAGAAATTACAGCACAAAGAAGCAGGGCATTGTGATACCAAAGTGGAACCATCACTGTTTCTCATTTCCAAGTAATCTGTGAAACACTTTAGGCCACCCCTGGGATTCATCTGCCCCTCAGCCTCACCTTATTCATCACCCTCACCAGTCCATCACCTCCATTCTCTCTCTGATCTGTACCCCAGGGTGGAGTCACAGGGAACAGAGAGAGGGTCGGGAAAGGAGTGAGAATATCTCTTTTGTGTATTACTTTCAAATTTAAATACTTCACCTTCAGTGGCACTGTGTCAGAATGGCCATGCACAAAAAC